CATGCTCACCTCATGACGAGGGAACATGGAACCGGCTTCCCGGCCAATCAGGAAGCCGGGCGCTGCCTCATTACTCATTAGCATGGGGACGGCTTCCATGCTAATCGGGAAGCCGGGTGGCGAGTCATTACAATCCGCCTGGCTTCCTTAATTGGATTTCCGGTATCGGTATTCGGTAATGGCGAGTACAGAAAAAAAGGTATCGGTACTCGTACTCCATACCGGTAATTGGTGCATCACTAGTGACTTGTGTATCCAACGCAAGAAAACAATTCAGTGCGACCGGAAATGCAAATGGTTCTTCTGTAAGGTGGGTTTCCTCATGGTGACCACAGTGGACCATTGTAGCGTAATGTGTGTGGAGACAGCCGCTTGTAGTCTCCATCAAGACAATGCAGGAGCACCCCATTGGGAAACAGAGAGAGCGTTGTCACCCTATAACAGGAAGTGCCTGAACAAGGGCCCTTACGGCAGGACCACCCGGGATTATTATTAACTAAAGCTGCAGACGGGAAAGTATTGTAAATGACTTCAAATGGAATTTTCATGTGGATGCATATTGAGATTTTAGTGATTGGGGTTTACATCTACTTACACCAATGACTAGGACATAAAATCCCCTCCCCCCCAATAAGTGGTTAAACCCACAGTGCCCAGCGTTGCGGATAATAGACTCTCGTCAGACAGCCGGCACAGCTCACCTTCTCTCCAGGAGACAGATCTGCTATCTGGCGGACAATGATATCGATCATGACCATCATATCCGTGTGATAGAAGATGTTCGCGGTCTCTGAGCTGGCGAACACGTCCTGTAAGACCTTCAGAACGGAGTGCGGCGGCTGCGGCTGATGTTTGAAGATACAGACGGGATCGTCTGCGGATAAGAAGAAGAGGGAGAAGCTTAGTGACCTCTTCATTATACACAAGGCACGGCGTGTGCCGCGACTCGCGTACTCACCGCCTCTGTTCAGAAGCAGAAGAAGCTTCTCTGTCAGTATCTTGACATTGGGTCGCTTGCGCAGAGTCTTCATAATCACGTTGTTCGCTGGAACTGCCGAAGTAAAACAAAGTAAATGAAAACATACTGGATTGCTACACATCATCCACCCGAAAGGTAAAACGTATCTAAACCCATACACATAAAAAGAGGGCAATTCAAAACCAGAGCAGACAAAATCTGGAGCAGTTGCCCGGGGCAACCAATCAGCTTCTCTCTTCAGTTAAGATTTGAAAATGAAGATAGAAGCTGATTGGTTGCCATGCACAGCTGCTCCAGATTTTGATCAATTCCCCTCATTATATCACATATTGCAGCTACCAGCCCCTACATGTGATGGCTGCCTTCGTTTTCATTTTTCCAGGCCCTTTTCTTTATTCTACCCTGGTGATCCTGCCAGTAACACACTTCCTGTCCTAGTGTGACAACACTCACTCACCGTGCTGTATCTATAGAGAAGCAGTGCCATCAGCCTGTGGCAAGACTACAATACCCTCTCTATCTCCTCCTTTCCATAAAACAGAGGGCAGGGGTTCTGTAGCTCTCAGAGATAGCTCGGAACAATGTAACTGGTAATAGTCATCACAGGAAGTTGTCAGCTCACTGGATTTTTGGCAGGATCAACAGGTTATTTTTTTTAAACGTATTGAACAGATATGACAAAAGACTTCCAATGGTATATTTAAAGAGGAACTCCATGTCACCTCTAACAAAAAAAAGTGATGGTAGGAATGACGGCGGATACGCTGCAAATACTAGACACATGCGCACCTGCTATGTGTAGATTGAAGGCCAGCAGCACGTTGATGAACAGATCCGGCAGCTGCTCGGTGGTGTCAGAAGGCAGGCCGTCCTCGATGACATCCAGTAAAAATTGGATAAACTGGGAGTTGAGATGCTCTGTGTAACGACAAGGACATAAATGTATTTACATGCACAGATGAGGGGGGGCATATAGGGCGGGAGTCAGGTTTTAGTAATGAAAGACCAGGGGCAGGCAAACTCCGGCCCTCCAGCTGTGCTGAAACTACGAGTCCCATTAGGCATTGCAAGACTCCGACAGCCACAGGCATAACTCCCAGAGGCAGATGCATGATGGGATTTGTAGTTTCACCTCAGCTGGAGGGCCGGTGTTTCAGCATTTGTGTGTTGTTTATGCCCTGCTGCCTGTTTATGTATTTTTGTGAGGGTTTCAATGTGTTTTCAGAAGGCACCTTACACATTTATAAGGGACAGAATGCAACATTGGAACTATATTGTTATAAATGCAAGAACCATATTTCTGCAGCCTATACATTGTATGGCCAAATGTTTGTGGACACCTGACCTTGCAAGCTCACTCCCGGGATGGACTACAATCTCATGTTCAGTTTACTCATTTGTATTGGGATTGTAGTCCATCACGGGAGCGAGCTTGGAGCGGTGACTACTTTACAACACACACAGGGACCACGGGGAACAGAAGTAGCCCCCGTCCAGAAGATAGGACAGTGTCAGCACCAATTCAGAGATGATTGGAGGATCTACAGCCGAGTGATACACAAATAAGAGACATTGTTCTTAATAGGGGACTTGAATATATTTGTAAGACTTATTTCCTGAGTTTAGTGTCGCTTTACACTAAGTGAAACTCGCATGTGTCAAACTCTGGCTAAAATATTTATATATGTCTGATATCATCGGAGTGACTGCAGTTCCAGAACACTTACCGTAATGGTGATAAGGAAGAGGTTCTCCCATAGAGAAAATCATGGAAAGGACTAAAGCTGAATAACACATTTTCTGGTGTTCTGCAAGAGAAAAAAAAGTCAACAATTCAGCCCGTTAACGAAACACTAAATACACCGATACACACAGATGTCAGCTTGTATACGAGCGATGTGCACAGCAGCCATTCACAATGCATCTTTAAAGTTTTTGTCAAGTTTGGAAGTAGCTTTGTCAAAGCCACTTAGTGACATTAAACCCTCAGATTTTTTTAACATAAAACAATACTGTAATGTGTGGCTTACTGTAATCCATGGTAGTTTCCCTTCTCTTTGCTGCTCTTCCTTTTAAATCCTCATGTCTTCTCATGCTGGGCAGAACTTCTGTTTTGTAGCAGACTGCCTTGTCTCTGGAATGGATACATGGTGTCTGTGTGTAGGTTTGCAACCTGAGCCAGCACTACAGGAAGAGGCAGTCAGCTGCAAAGGGAAGTTCTCCCCCAGCATGAGAAGACATGAGGATTTAAAAGGAAGAGCAGCAAAGAGAAGGGAAACTACCATGGATTACAGTAAGGCGCACATTACAGTATTGGTTTATGTTAAAAAATCTGAGGGTTTAATGTCACTAACTATTCTTATCTCCAGTTAGGGAATAAGAAACACTGATCTTAATGGGAGTGCTGGCTGTCACCTTCACCTTTAAGGACTTGCCTTAAATGATGCCTCTTGACCCGATCATCTCCTTCCTTCCACTTGTATTCCGCATTCCCTCCAGCGCTGGTGCCGGCCTCTGATCCAGTGCAGACTCCTCGTGTCCCATGTTGTCTGTCCGATGTGCACGCTCCCGGCTGCGTGCGTTCACCTCCCGCTGTGTCTCTCCTCTTCTCCCTGCTGAAGATCTCCACTGCGCATGTGCCCGCCCCATCATCCTGCACAGCCGCTCGAGAATCTTCAGATGGGAGTAAGCGGCGGAGACGCAGGCAAGTTTTTATAACTTTTTTTATTTTATTTTTTTAACTGGTTTTGCATATATCTCCTACTTGCTATATGCAAAAACAAATGAGAGTTTAATTCTACTTTAAGATAATATCCAATCATTCTGCCTAGTTCAGGCACTTCCTGTTATGGGGTTACAACGGTCAATTGTGCTTTTGCACTGTCACCCTGCCACATGCACCCTTGGTGGAGATCATGAGCGGAAACAACAACACACATTGGCTGGGCACGGTCCGCTGCTCTCTGATCTCTGCGGCTAAGCCCATGATTGGGTGAAACACATCAGAGGGGGCAGAACTTACCTGCTGTGGAGATTATGAGTGGGTGCGACAACACACATTGCATGGGCACGATCCACCGCTTTCTGATCTCTCCGACTAAGCCTGTGATTGGGCGAAACGCATCAGAAGGGGAGGATCTTAGGCAGGACAGCAGTGATGTGGTACAAGTTTCAATCAACTATCCCAGTGCAACCCAGTTTGCGGCCAGTTTTTCTTCTGTTTGTATGGGCTCATATTGGAGCGAGGACATGCTCCCAGCGGCAGGCACCCGGCTCATTCCGTTCCTGAGCCGTGGAGGAGTGGTGCTTCTTTTGTGTGTTCTCCTCAAAGTCTGCCACCGTCACCATCATGAAGAGTATTGATATGCAACTCACACTGGCCAGAAAGTGGTTGGAAGTGGCTGCAGGAGATCAGCAGTAATGAAATGCAGCAAAAGCTACAAATGAAGGTGAAAACAGTATTTGATTTATAAAATGGCAACGGTCTATAATACACGGTGCTTTAGCGAGCCAAATGTCACCCAGTTAGGGCTTAATCCGCTTTAAATATGAAAAAAAGTCAAACCTTTGACATCTTTACATTACTGTCTAATGACTTTCTAAAAAGCTCTCCCCGGCAAGCTGCCATCCCAACATCCAAGTGGGAATTTCCTGCTCGCAGATCACAAACACCGCCACAGTATCGACCAAGCGGAATAAATCGAGGAATTTAGGGAATTAATTTTCGGGATTAGCAGTGGAATGTTTACACTCTAATGGAGTTACAATTACACGCAATTAGCGGTGCGTTTCCAATACTTCCGCGTGCGCCGCTGACATCAGAATTATTTTTTAGAGGGATGGGGGATTGGGGGATGGGGGTGTAACTGTCAACATGCATGGCTGTCCGTCCCGCTGGAAAAACTCCGAACACTTCAAAGGCCTTCAACGTTTAACCGGTTGGCTTCAGACCTATGAAGCGGCTGACACGGATCCCAGGGAGAGCTCGCTGAAGATTTTGATATTCCCCGGACTGAGAAGAGGGCGCTGACTGTTTCACAGAGTGGAAAAAGGATTATCACCGACAATGGAGCAGTCACCAGCTTTGAATTCCTAAGACCCAAAACAGCTTATGTTGTCTACCATTCAAGGTCACTCAATAGGGAAGGGGAGACGGTCCGACGGGCGAGTCATCTATAAATAAGACAGTCTTGCTGCAAGTTGATTCGTTTTGACTTTGAGAAGGGCGATTAAAAACGCAAAACGGGAAGCGCTGAGCCGCCATTGCCAGTTTCCTCCCGTGCGTGCCAATCGCCTCTGGCTTCAGTACTTTTGGACTCGTTGAGCTGGAAGAGGGGCGCGGAAAGTCGTCAGAGTGAACTCAGAACTCTTGACAACCTCATTTGCATGGCCGGCAAGCCGCCTCCATGCTCCCTGAGGGACAGGTTAGAGGCCAGGGTAAACCTAAGTTCTAGGGACAAGTTAGGTCAGGGTAAGGCTAAGTGCCAAGGACAGGCGAGAGGTCAGGATGAGGATAAGTTTTAGAGACAAGTTAGAGGTCAGGGTAAGGCTAAGTGCTAGGAACAGGTTAGAGGTCAGGATGAGGCTAAGTGCTAGGGACAGGTTACAGTCAGGATGAGGCTAAGTGCTAGGAACAGGTTAGAGGTCAGGACGAGGCTAAGTGCTAGGGACAGGTTACAGTCAGGATGAGGCTAAGTGCTAGGAACAGGTTAGAGGTCAGGATGAGGCTAAGTGCTAGGGACAGGTTACAGTCAGGATGAGGCTAAGTGCTAGGAACAGGTTAGAGGTCAGGATAAGGCTATGTTTTAGGGACAGGTTAGAGGTCAGGACGAGGCTAAGTGCTAGGGAAAGGTTACAGTCAGGATGAGGCTAAGTGCTAGGAACAGGGGTTAGCCTTATCCTCATCTCTAAACGGTTGCTAACACTTGGCCTCACCCTGACCTCTAGCACAGGGGTGGCAAACTCTGGCCCTCCAGCTGTGGTGAAACTACAAATCCCATGATGCATCTGCCTCTGCGAGTCGTGCCCGTGTCTGTGAGAATCTTGCAAAGCCTCAAGGGACTTGTAGTTCCACAACAGCTGGAGGGCTGCAGTTTGCCACCCCTGCGAGTCTAGCATGTCCCAAAAACATAGCCCTATCCTGACCTTGAGCCTGTCCCTAGCACTTAGCCTAACCCGACCCCTAACCTGTCCCTGGCACTTAGCCTCATCCTGATTTCTAAACTGTTGCTAAGTTTTAGGGACAGGTTAGAGGCTAGGCTGTCACATATGTATTATGGTTATATAAGTAACTGTATTTTTTTTTCCTGTAAAGCAAAACATTGTGTTTTCTTCATGGTCTGCGGTTACATGATGCAGTCACTTCAGATGCAGTCACTTCAGATGCAGTCAGTGCTTAATGTAGTCCTTGTTTAAGGAACGCTCCTCATATCGCTCAACTCTCGTAACTCTCAGACTAAAGCCCCCTAAGCCTCAGTGGCGAGTGCCCTTTAAGATGAGACAATGGTCGGCTTCTCCACACCCCGCACTGTGGCTTTGCAATCACTTATTTATACAGCGAGCATGTTCTGGAACGTCTCGTTGCGGGAACACAGAGTACCGAAGCGCCTTGCCTGCCTCGGCTCCACGGCCGCCACACTTTGACTCGCAGGCTTTTAACTCAAAGTGACATCCATTTAGTGCGCATAATAAATACATAAAGTCAGACTGCGCGAGATCAAAGCGCGCATAAAATGTGACAAAAGCCCGAAACATAAAATAAAATGAGAGAGAAATAAGCCACCTAGAAACCAGGTAAGCCGTCCAACCCACACTGCAGGCTCTCTGGAGAAATTCAGGATGAATTCTGCCTGTGAAAAATCGTTGTGAATGCAACGGCCATCTCGTATATGAAGCTGAATTGCTGCAGTCTGCATCAGTGGGGTCACAAGGGGGGTGCCATTGCAGGGGTGACACCAAAATGACTGTCATTTTGGTGTCACCCCCTCTATAAAGTCGGAAAAAAAACATCAATATATTTCTAAAATGTCACCTATAAAAAAAACTGTGAAAACACAAACTCCACCATTTAACATGAAAAAGCCATCCCTGAGCTATTGTAGCGTGACCTGGTCTGAGATGATGTCATCAGTGTGCTGGAGGCAGGAGGAAGCATTTCCTCCGTCTCCTCTCTCACAGTTATCAGGCTGCACTATTGTAACTTTGCATCATTGAAAGTAATAGCCACAAAAACTATAATTCAAAATGTGTGTGCACCAAATCCAAACCCAGATATTACCTTGTGCTGTACATAGCCTGTGTAGAGAGCAGAGCTATGGGAGGGACCCAGCAGGGCCCACCCACTACAGGAAATTACAGAAAGGTGTAGAGACAAGACCAGTCACCCTGCAAAAGGAAAGAGGGTAGCAGTGAGTGGTCTTTATTACAGGAAGGGGAGGAGAGAAGACCAGTCACCCTGCACAGGGAGAGAGAGAAGTGAACAGTCTTTACTACAGGAGGGGGCGGAGACAAGACCAGTCACCCTGCACAAGGAGAGACAGCAGCAGTGAGCGGTTTTTATTACTGGAGGGGGCGGAGACAAGACCAGTCACTGGTCTTTATTACAGGAAGTCTCACACTGGATTACTGCACAGATCTGGAAGAAATACACAAAGCTCACCAAGATTCAAAGAAGAATACGCATAACTCTTGTATGGGGCCAATATTTCCTTATCCCGTAGTTCAGCTTTAAGACCGGGACATACTGTTGTCCTTACCTCCAATGTACATTAATCCATCAATCACACACCTCTGTCTCCCTCTCTCGCTATATACGTATAATAGGACAGATATATTGCTTTCTAGAAATACACAATTTCTACAAACGGCCTCCCTGAATTTAAGTGAAAAAAAACAGAAATGCTTTTCCTGCAGTAGCACCGTTCCCCAATCCATCAATCAGTAAAATTCCCCCTGAAAGGTAACAGCAAAACAATCACGAAAAGAAAAAAAAAGCAGAACACCTGGTCATATGACCACGTTTGCTACCCTATAATTGCCATGGCAACCGACCCTATTCAAAATGTCCACACCATCGAACAAAGAAAGGGGGCCCGCGTTTAAAGCGACTTCAATCGCCATACATCTCTCCCACAGCTGGAGTTCTTCCCACAGCTGGATTTCTCTTATGATATTTTTCTCTTCGACTTACAAAAATAAAATCCCGAGCAGATATTCTCGCTCTACTAAAACAAAGAGATATTTTTCCACTGCACGCCGGCGAGTTCACTACCGCGTCACAATTCGTTAGAGAGTTTCATTGTGATACCGCAAAGCTTTCTGCCTTCTATTTCTGTTCTTCTGGATTCATGGGGTGGATAGAGAGAGATCAGGAGACACTATGAAACCTTCTGATAAGACCCCCAGAAAGCAGAAGGAAGAAATTCACATTGTTAGGGCTCAGCAATCAAGCTCGGTGTATAAAGGTGAAGGTTAGATAGATAGATTAGGAGCCAGGGCATTGACTACAGATCATGGGGCCCCATAGTGAAAATGTGATGGGGGGCCCTCCTGACAACCTCTCTCTGAGCTATGACTAAAGATGCCAAGATCCCAAAGACTCCTCTTGTGCATTTGAAGTCATCTCTACACTGTAGACAACAACCCTTAATGATTCAGTATTGTATTATCTTCCCGTGTTCTAGTCTGTATATAGCCAAAGGTAGGTTAGGCACCCAAAAGGACTTCAAAAAGAAGATGAAGGAAAACCAAATGTTTCCTTTATTGTGCTGAAGTTTCGGTGACACAGCCAACCTTCCTCAAGATATATAGCCAAAAAGGTAGTGTAGGCACCCAAAAGGACTTCCAAAGGAAAACGAGGAAAACCAAATGTTTCCTTTACTATGCTGACATTTTGGCTAGTCACAGCCCAACTTTTTGAAAGCTCTAGTTGACTGTGACTCACCGAAACATCAGTATACTAAATCAAACATTTGGTTTACCTCATCTTCCCTCGGAAGTCCTTTCAATGCCCACCCTACCTTTGGCTATATATTTGGTCCCTGAGAAAGGTTGGCTGTGCCTCACCGGAAGTTCAACATAATAAAGCCAACATTTGGTTTTCCCTTATCTTCTTTTTGAAGTCCTTTCAGTGCTTAACCTACTGAAAAAGAAATCACTGAGCTGGATTTAGCGAAGAAAATAGATAGAGGCCTTCCATTGGATAATTACTAGGTTCAGCATATCTCCAGTATGGTCTGTGGTCACCTTGCAGCTGATCTTCTCCTCATTGCTGACCTTCTATAGCTTGTTCTGCACTGTGTCTGTCTGTGGAGGTGGCCATCTCGGTAAAGGGAGGGCTTTGCTTTCTCATGTCAGAGCTGCACCCCTAATGACTGGTGAACTGATGACTGGTGAGGGAAGCAGCAGTAGAGAAGAAGAGAGCACAGAATTACAGAATGGATGATTTAGAAGCAGGGAGATTCTTCTACTGTAGGTCCTCAGGTGTGGCTTTCTCTCGAGCAAGGAGAACAGTGAACAGTACAGAAGTGACATTACCAAATTGACTACCAACCCTGGAGAAAATAGCAGTCGGAGGAAGTAGTGTCTTAGATTAACTCACACTGCAGATATACAACTATGAGCTTCAAAGCAAAGGTGTGCCTGGGCACAAAAAGGCACACTGCTTTTTTTTCCCCAAGAGGAATTCTAGTAAGCACAATTAACATTTCTAGATGCTCCCTATAAGATAGCAAAATTTCACTTTTTGAGTTCAAATCCACTTTAAAAACACAATCTTTGTTTAACAATTAACAAGCACAAAAGGAATAACGCTATGGGTTATCTAAAGACACGGCACAGCAAAGCTGCTTCCTTTTAGACACTCTGCCTCTGACTGAAACCTCGGATGGCACCCGTCACTGCCCCGAGAGTTACATTTGTGTATAAATTTCAGTTTGAGCTACTGACCTCTGTAAACATGTTTTTTTTTAACAACAGGATTAAAGGAAAAACTGAACCTAAAAGCTCAACCTGCTGGCTGACTTTAAGAATACATAATATTCATACACAATATTTCATATTTACTTGACTAATAAAATATAAAATTAGTTTTTAAGTCCAGAACATCACTTATAGAGAAACAAAGAATACATAACACCACTGTACATCCCTTTTGAACAGTAAGAACTTATGAAGTGATGTTTTCCAACTATAGGTGAAGCAAAGTGTCTACCTTGGGTATGCGTCTGCATGTCACGAGCCAGCTCCATAGGAAGAACGGAGTTAACCAATGATGAAATGATGGAAGCGTCCAGATTGCACATGGCCCCGAAACACTTCAGCAGCAGCAGACGCAGAGAAACCCTGTGCTCCTACCATTCAGAAGAGAGACACCAAGAGCACAGATGTTAAAACCACACATGCACTATAGACAACCATTAAAGTCATAGCCACAAATACATACACCGCACTAGGAACCATACAGGAAAGGGGAGTGTCTGGATTGGCAACAGAAGCTGTTCATATTCCGGCATATTCTGCATGCAGAAAGCTACTGTGGACTAGGGTGAGCTAGGGCAGCAGCCACTGTGGTCTGCACACATGTGGGTGCAGGTCCCTCATAGTAGCCAGTAATAGGTGAATGGGGTCAAAAAGACACAGTCAAACTACTGGAATGCTCCTGGAATTGAAGTGTATGCTAAACCAAAAAGTTTTGAGATTTCCCAAGAAGATTTTACTTCACTTCCTGTCCAAGAGACACATCTGGACGTAAGGGGAGATCCCTTTAAAAGGAAAAGGTTATCTCCCTCTTAGACAGCTGTCTCTGGAACAGGTTTCCCCACTGGAAGATTTCAAGTATTTCCAATGCTTACTTGCAGCATATTTCCTTTCCTTAAATAATGTTTATTCACTTGCAAAGTGCCTTTGAGCTTGCTTGAACATCTGACTACTCCAAGAAGAGTCAGGTCCCTAGTACATCTCCTCCCACATAGCATGTCATAGCCCTCTCCTCTCATCTCCTATCAGCATGCCTCTTCAGGACATAAACTGATTGGATATTTGACCTGCTTCTTCCTCTCACCCTCCAGACCTGCTGTACAGTGAGTGGGAGGAGCCAATACCGGTCACACTTCGCTACTTACACTGCTTGCATTAAAACAAATAACATTACTCCTATATTAATGAATACAGAGCGAGCCTAATTTGTGTCTTTTATAATCAGCCAAAAGTTCAGCTTTAATCACAGAAATAAAACCTAACTAAATGCTGCCAGGAAATACGGCTTTGTTTGCGGGCTGCCAGATGTTTTCTTCTGCTCTCTACACTCCGGTAAACTTGCTTTACCCGGTGCCAGGAATCATGAGAGGCACTACTTACCATCTGATAATAGGCCACCAGAGACAGGACGGCCTCAGATTGGTTCCTCTTGCACATCTTGTTGCACACTTCGGGGTCTGCATCTGTCTGAAAGGAGATGAGCGATGAGCAGATCATTTACTGCAGAGACAGATTATGGCAGAATGTGGTAGCAGCTAGGCCCCTTCCCCTTTGCAAAGGATAGCAGTAGGCACAGAGTTGTCCCATTTGCATTGTCTGTATTGGAGTGTCCCCATTAGACACCAACTGCCTACAAGTACATCTTCCCTTGTGCAATGACAGGCAGGTTCACAGCTTTGACCAATCATGCTATCCTCCTGGTATACTGCAAGAGCGTGGAGGTTGTAGCTAGGCCCCTGGACATCTATCTACCAGGCCCTAAGCTCCTGCACAGGCTGCCATGTGGATGATTTAACTCTACCCTCGATATACTATAAATTTTGTACAACATTACATTGAAGAGAATCTCTGGGAAGCTCACAGAGGAAGGGGTCAGAGGTTTTACAATACTTACTAAATCCCAAGGACTGTGAAAAGTCTAAACGTTAATCTGGTACGAACACCCTGATGCTCATCAATAAATGTCATCCATGGGCAGATGAATGACAGGACTACCCTCCCCCATTCACAGAATGCCTGGCATTCAGGGAAAAATAATACAAGGAGGTTTGTGAATGGACAGGAGAACAGGAAGGAGCGCCGGAAGGTCAGCACTGTGAGGAGTAGCCGACATTAATGAGGGGAGTATTATTAGACTAAATGGAAGCCAATAGAACATTGGATACACACCATTACATTATTCCACTGGTGCTGTATGGCCAACAAAAGCTTTTTCCTAAACTTCAGCTTGACTTTAGAGAACGGTAGAGGCATTCTCATGTGGTGCAGTGATAACATGAATCACCCACACCTTTCTCAGATGCATAAGTAATGGCGAGCAACCAAACCACAGCTGGACCTGAGATGATCATTTGCACCATCATAGGGACATGAAATTGTCAAGTACCCACCAGAATAACCAGGAGCTCCTCCAAATAACAAAGGATGACATTCTCATCTTCGTACAGGGCCCAGCTCCGCTGCTGGGAATCATCTTTGTGCCGGGCCAGGTCTGTAAAGATGACCTCCAAACGCTGCTCGTCATGGCAGATCTGCCCAGATGGTAACCCAGAGCGGCAATCCTGACAACCAGAAAAAGGATTTAGGTTAGTGCCGAAAGAAAAAGTTTAAAAACGAAAAACACATAGATACATAAACCCATACATAGATACATACACACATACACCCATACATACATACACACTTACATTACACACATACCGAGTAATAAGAATTTAATAATTACAGAATGTCAATATTGTAATTGTTGAAAACCAAGGCTGTGTGTTGTAAAGCCCCAATGGTCTTTGTACTGGGCCGGCATCCTGATTTTGGCTCTAGGTTCACAGGCCCGCTTCTTTCCCCTAAAACACATTTATCTGGGATGTCAGGGGCCGTCACCTTGCCTGAGTTAAGATTCACAATAAACATTTAACACGCCGCTTGGATTTATATATAAAGCTTTTCTCAGCAGAACCATTATTCTTAAAACAAAACTAAAGTCCTGCTTTAGATAATTGCTAGGAAATAGAATTTTCTGACAAAAGAGACATGCCAAACAAAATACTTTGTCCCATGCTCCTAGTTATTTTCCCGCAGAGAAGAGGCAGGTGCCGGGGATACGCATGGGTCACATAGTCGGTGGCAATCCAGTGGCTGAAGAGGAGCATTATGGGAAGAAGTAATGGGGAAGATGTGGTTGGCATGGGACAAAGCAGAGACTGGAGGCTGGGCCAGTGAGTGCTGAAGGAGGGCACAGTGTGCAGTAAGTGTGCCATGAAACACAAGTTGCACGTTATGGCATTAGGCCACCACCA